CACATTGTCGTCTGGCAGTCGAACAAGTAGCCGACCCCCGCCCCCGCCGGCGTCGGCCCTTCGCCCCCGTCCCCTGCTGCGCTCCTCTTCCCGCCGCCGCCTCCCTGGTGGCCCCCTCTGCTCGCCTGCGTCGACGAGTGGCCCGGCAGCTCGCCTGAGCGCCGGGCCATCCTCGCTCGCCCACCGCGGAGAGGGGGCGGCCTCGAGGCAATGCGCCTGCAATTGCAAAAAAGCACAGATATGGAGGTGGATACATCGGCGACCTGCGTGTGCGGTGCCCCAGGGAGACGTGTGTGCGTGCGCGCATGTGTGTGCAGGTGAGTGTGTGAGGGCATGTCGGCGTGACCAAGTGCGAGCGCATGTGCTCTGCGCGATGCAGGCGTTGGCCACCGTCGTTGCGGTGGCTCGTGACGTTTCTGATGCTCGGCGTGGCGAGACTGGCGCTCCGATGAGCGCCGCGGATGCGATGGCGGTGCCACAGTCAAGTCGGATCCTTGGCCGCCTTCTTCTTCCCCCTTCGTCCCGCCCCAGTGTTTCAGCCCATGTCGTTGTGGCCCTTTGCTTGTCTTTTGCTTCAGCGGAACGGCCTGGCTGGCCGGCTGGCGCTGGCCGCCCCTACATCTGGGCGCGCCTCATGAGGTTCTTCCTCACCCTCCTCTTCTTTGTGCCCACCACGCCCTCGGACTCGGCCTCGTTGCGCGGCCACTCGAGGAAGGGCACCTGCTCCTTTTCGACGCCCGCCACGGTGCCCTCGCCGTCGAGCGTGCCTTCCCTCGCCTGCTGGACGGCGTCAAAGTCGAGCGACAGCCAGACGGGCAGGTCGATCGCCCCCTTGACCAGCGCCAGCCCGCGCCCGGGCGCGGCGGCGGCGGCGGCTAGCGTCGAGACAGCGAGGGGCGTGACGATGTGCACAGCGCCTCCAGCCGGGTCGACGGAGCGGACCAGCGCCAGGCCCAACGAGACCGCTCCCGTCGATGGCGAGGGGCGCGGGAGGCCAAAGGCGTGCTGCCACACCGACGTCGTCGAGCCTGCCTGGTTGTCACCGCCGCTGCCCGACTCTGCCGTGGCTGCCGTCGTCGAGGAGGGCGTGGGCAGTAGCGGCACGGAGACGACCGAGACGATGCTGCCGTTGAGCGCGCTCAGCTTGAGGGTGTCGGGGACCGACGAGCCAAACGGCAGGACGTGCAGCCCGCCCCTGAGACCCGCAGCCACGTCAATCACCAGCGGCTCAATGGCCAGCACCGGGCGGCCAAAGTTCCACTGCGTACGCGCGGGTCCGCCGGCGCTGGCCAGCTCAGTGGCGTGGAACCACGAAACGAGGCTCATGGTCCTCGCGTCGGCCGCCGAGAGGCGTGTGTTGGACGACGAGATCATGTTGCTGCCTGTGCTCGACGTGGCTCCGTTGCCGCTGCCCGCGCCCGTCGCCGCCACAAACGCCGAGGCGGCACCCGACAGCGTCGTCACGCTCGGGCCCTGGGCGAGGATGGCGCCGTACGGGTCGATGTAGGCCTCGCCGCGATAGGTCTGCGACAGCGGCGGGCGGCCCTCGACCGGCGCCACGAGCTCGTAGACGTGCGTGGGGCAGAGGAGCGTCTCGATGCGCATGCCGAGGTCGGCGCCCAGGCCCTTGACCCAGCCCTGCGTGTTGACCACGAGCGGCGTCAGCTGGCCGGTGGCGGCATCGCGCTGCACCTCGGCGCGGTACCAGCCGACGAGCTCCTCGATCGCCTGGACGTAGCTAGCCGGGTCGTCCTTGGGGCTCGTGTCGCCGACAAAGTGCGACCTGGCCGCGGCGCGCGGCAGGCACCAGCCCGGTCCGTGCGCGAGGTCCCGCTGCTCAAAGACGTGCAGCACCACCGAGCCCGGCGGGCCGTACTCGGACTGGCCGAGGTCGAGGTCGAGCAGGGCCACCTTGGTGGTGGCGGCCGTCGTCGCCGCATCATCAATGCCTTTGCCGCCCGAAGCAGCCAGTATCGCGTTGATGGCCATCTTGACAAACGTCGACTTGCCCACCTTCTTGGCGCCGCGGACGAGCGCCACGACGGGGTCGTCGAGGTCCGGCTTGGACGCGACCACCTCGCCTGCCAGGTGATCCAGCGCGCCGGTCCAGTTGGCCGGCGTCTCGAGCGCGGCGAGCGATGCATTGGCGGCGGGCGCCCAGGCGGACGCGCCGGCGCTCGACTCGTCGTCGTCTGCGGGCGCAATAAGCATCTGGAACGTCGAGGGGCATGGCAGCTCGGCCACCTTGACCCTGCTCGACAGCGCAAAGGGCTCGAGGCCGGAGACGGGGCACGCCCGGCCGATGCTCTGGATGTCGGAGCGCAGCTCCTCGACCCTCACAATCACCGAGAAGCCATCGCAGTCGAGGCCCTCGGCGAGCGCGATGGTCCTGTCGGATCCGCTCGCTCCGAGCGCCTCGAGCGCCGGGATCGGGTAGCCGGCGGGAGCAAAGACATCGATCGACGTGGCGTCGCCGACGTCGGAGAGGGTCGCCGCGCCGACGCGCAGCTTGCCCTTGAGCACGATGACTCTGGCGATGCCGACAAAGGCGAGGCTCTCGCCCTGGTTGAGACCAAAGGTGATGGCCTCGGGTCGCTCGTTGATCATGTCGACCATGTAGTTGGTCTCGGCGCCGCCGGTGATGGGCACGAAGCGGCTGTAGGGGATGGTGGGCTTCTTGGCGGCCAGGCTGGCCGCCCTCCTGTCGCCCATCAGCACGGCGATCGACTGGCCCAGCACGGGCGTCGTGGCGCCCGACGCCTGCTCGTCGACGAGGAGCGCTGCGGCCGTCTTACCCTTGCCCGCGGCGTACTTGGAGGGCGTCGCGATCTCGTCCTCGTCGAGTTCGGAGCTGCGCTCGTCGTCCTCGTCACTGGAGACGTCGGCTGCCAGCTCTTGATCCTGCGCCTCTTCCTGGCCCATCTCCTCGTCCTCGTCCTCTGCCGGAGTCTCGGCGCCCTCGCTCTGGACGTCGTCGAATGCGACAAAGCCAGAGTCGTCCGCCGCCTGAGCTGCGGCTCGGGGTCTCCTCGCCCGCTCCTTGGGCTTGACTGGGCTGCGCGCGGCGGCCTTGGCCCTTGTGGAGCTGCGCGTGCGGGTGGCCCGTTTGCCCGCGGCCTCTTCGTCCGATGCGACGCCCATCTCGACGTCACCATCCTCTTCTCCCTGCTCCGCCTCCTCCTCGTCGCCCTCGCCCTCCTCTTCCGAGAACTTGCTGTGGGCGGCCGCGCGCCTGCCCTTCTTTGTCGCGCCGTCGTCGGCGGCGCCAGCAAAGTATCTCGACGACGCCTTTTTGGTGGGCGAGTCGAGGTCGGGCGACATCCGCTGCTGGCGCGACTTTGACTTGTCGGGCTCCGAGGCCTTGCGTCGCTTGTTGGACCTGCGCGCCTGTCGCTGCACCTCCTCGATGGCCTCTTGCTCTTCGTCGTCGTCTTCGCCGTGGCCACGGAGCTCGGACACGATCCTGTCGACATCCTCTTCCTCCTCCTCATCTTCCTCCTCGTCCTCGTCCTCGTCCTGCTCCTGCTCCTCGTCCTCGTCCTCTTCTTCTGCGGCGGCCGGCCTGGCCTTGCGCTTTCTGGCAGAAGAGGTGGTGCGGGCGCGAGCCGTGGTGGTGCGGGCCGCGCTGGTTGTGGCGGCGGCCGGGGTGCGAGGAGAGGGCTTTGCGCGCGACGAGGCCCTGGCGGTCGTGACCTGGACCTGCTGCGGGCTGCTGCGCGAGCTGACCGAGGCGCGGCGGCGCGTGCGGGTGGCCGAGGCGGGTGTGCGGGTGCGGACTACGACGGCTGCCGACGTCGAGGCGGCGGGCGTCTCGGGCGTGGCGGCCGCCTTTTTCCTGGCCGACGTCTTGGCCGACGTCTTGAGGGGCGTCTGCTTGGTGGCCGGGGTGAGGCGTGAAGCGGGGCTCGGCAGGGGGATGACGACCTGGGGGTCGGTGCCGGTGAGGAAGACCTTGGAGGGGGTGGAGGGCGAGGAGCCGTTGGCTCCGTTGGCGGCCTCTGCTGCCATCGAAGCCCTCCTGGTCCTGAGGGGGGTGGGTGCCGGTGCAGCCTTCTTGGAAGCGGCGCTGGCGGGCGCAGTCTGCTCGGCCTTTGCCCTGGACTTTGGCGTAGCCTTTGACGAAGAGGAAGAGGTCGAGGGAGTGGTGGCGGCGGGGGGCTTTGGGTTGGAGTTGGTCCTGGAGCGCGTCGCGCGTGCGGGTGAGGCTTCTGCGCTACCGTCCTGGGTTCCCGCCTTTGCTGCTGCGACTGCGGCGGCGGCGGCGGCGTGCCTGGCCTTTCGAGCCGCGATTGCGCTCATGGGAGCGGCGGCGGCGGCGGCGGCGGCCGGGGCGGGCGTGGACTTGGGCCTCGCCATGGCTGTGTCGAGGGTGTGAGTGCGATGGGGCGGTTGCACGCTTCTCACAGCCGCTGCGACGTAGGGGGCAGGTGGTGGTGCGGAAAGGGTGAGGGCGGTGAAGAAAGCAAGGAGGTCGTGGTCGAGAGGCAGGCCAGGCCAGTAGGGATGCCAGACGCGTTTGGTCTGGCTCGCCGGGCCAGCCTGGCAGGCTGCTGCGCCTGGCGCGGGTGGGTGCGTTTCTTCTTGAGCCCTGGTTGCTGCGCCCGCCTGTGGCAGGCCTGCTGCGCCCGTCAAGAAGGGCCTCGTGCCGGCCTGCCCAAAAAAAGTCGGAAAATCGACGTCAAAAAACAGAAAAATCCAAAAGTCAAAAAAAAAATGTGGAGATCGCCTGGCAGCCAGTCGAGGAAGAGAAGGGGCGGCCAGGGGCAAGGCTGGCCTGCCAAGCAGACGAGCGACCGGCCAGGCCAGCCAGGGGAAGCTCGAGCGGAGACTGCTCGGACCTCTCTCTGTGGTCTTCGCCGTGCCCAGCAGCGCCTGCTGGTTGGCCTGCCGTCCGAGCGCGCCGGCTCCTCTTCCCGCCTTCTCACCCACCTCTTCTTCCGATCTCTCTGTCCTACCACCTACCCTCTCTCTCCTCGCCAGCTCATCCTACCTCGACATGCCTCCAAAACAGCAGGGCGGCGGCGGCGGCCGTCAGCAGCAGCAGCAACAGCACCACTCGTCATCGAAAAAGGCTGGCGCAAAGGCCGGCGGCGGCGGCGGACACCAAGACGACCTCCAGCAGGAGCCGCTGCAGGCCGTCGTCCTGGCAGACGCCTTCTCGCGCCGCCTCGACCCGCTCACGGCCGACCGCCCGGCATGCCTGCTGCCCATCTGCAACGTCGCCCTCCTCGACTGGACCCTCGAGAACCTCGCCCTGGCCGGCGTCGACGAGGCCTTTATCCTCGCATCGCGCCACGCCGACCAGATCAAGCGCCACATTGCCTCGAACCCGCTCGCCGCACCCAAGCTCACCGTCATCGCCACTCCAGACGCCCAGTCCATCGGCGACGTCATGCGCGAGCTCGATACCAAGCAGGTCATCCGCTCCGACTTTGTCCTCGTCCACAGCGACTCGGTCGCCAACCTCGACCTGGCCTCGGTCGTCGCCGCCCACAAGCACCGCCGCAGGCGCGAAAAGGACGCCATCATGACCATCTGCGCCATGCCCGCCGGCAGGCACAGCCGCACCCGCCCGCCCGGCGACCTCTCCCTCTTCTTCCTCGAACCCACCACCTCCCAGCTCCTCCACTACGCCCCCGTCCGCGCCGTCCCCCGCCTCCGCTCCACCACCCTGCCCCTCGAGCTCTTTGACAGCGACGCACCCGCCACCACCAGCGGCGGCTCCAACGGCGCAGAGGTCGACGTCCGCAACGACCTCGTCGACTGCGGCATCGACGTCTGCAGCGTCGACGTGCCCCCGCTCTTTTCCGAAAACTTCGACTACCAGACGCTCCGCCGCGACTTTGTCCTCGGCATCCTCACCTCGGACCTTCTCGACTCCAAAATCTTCGTCCACGTCGCCCCCAACGGCCCGCCCGCTTCGGCCGCCTCGGCCTCGTCGTCGGCCTGCCCGCCCGTCATCGGCACGTCGACCTACGGCCGCGGCTACGCCGCCCGCGTCAAGTCGCCCGCCGCCTACGACGCCATCAGCCGCGACATTCTCGCAAAGTGGACCCACCCGCTCGCCCCGAGCGGCTACCTGCCGGGCGGCGAGCGCTACAGCGCGCGCGCCGGCCTCCGCTACGTCGGCAAGGACGTCGTCCTGAGCCGCACCTGCACTTTTGGGCCCTGCTCGCTGCTCGGCTCCCAGTCCCAGATCGGCGACCGCGCGTGTGTCGAGCAGTCCATCATCGGGCCCTCGGTCCACGTGGGCGCGCGCTCCACTGTGCTGGGCTCCTACATCTGGGAGGGCGCCCAGATCGGACAGGGCTGCACCGTCGAGCGCGCCATCGTCGGCGAGGGCGCGCGCATCCTCGACGGCGTCAAGCTCGGACGCGGCACCATCGTCGCGCCCGGCTGCGTCGTCGGCCCAGACGTCGAGCTCAAGCCGTACTCGCGCGTCGGCATGAAGCGCTACGGCGTCGACGACGACGACGACGAGTACGACGATGAAGAGGATGACAGCGACGATGACGACGAGGACATGCCGGCGGCCGGACGGCCGGGCGCGGCTGGTGCTGGTGGTGCTGCCTCCGCCGCCGCCGCCGCTGCCTACTCAAAGGAGCTTGGCGCCCAGGGTGTTGGCTACCTGTGGCCTGCGCTGGGCGAGCGGCATCGCAGCTCGGCCGCCGGCGGATCCGACGGCGACGACGACAGCTCCGACGACGAGC